AACTACCAATGTTTACAAACATATCCTCATGGAAAGGCAGAGAAAGGTGAAAAAAACGGGGATGATACCTTAATCGTTACAGGTGAAGCTAATTGGAATTGAACACGTGGGTGGGTAATGCTTGTACTTCCGATGGAGATTACACACATATAGTTAAAGACACAAACAAATGAGGAAGAACTTCGATTCAACGATTCAATCGATCGATGGCTTGAAAAAAATAGAGCAATAATTGGAAGGGAAAGAAGTTAATCGAGTAGAGTAGTCGCACCCAACAATCAGGACGAAAGTAGAGCGGGTACCTGGTTCTTCTCCACCTGTGTCAACATCACAGGTTTGAACCGGGATCGGAACAAATAGAAAGAGAAAAAAATCGGTGGGAACAGCAAGTGGAAATGGAATAATGGCGGTGGGGGATTGAGATACTGAAGGGGTATACGTGTGCCTTCAGCTTACGAAATCGGTGCTCCACATCGGTTTCGTCTATTTTTTTATTCGAAGCCGGCATCACTAATTTCCGATCACCCTATATTGTTGTAACCCCGTAAATTTTAAAACAATTTTTCATTTTTTTTAAAATATAATTTCATTCATAAATATTCTCGAATTCCAATGTATCACATATCAAATCCATAAAAACACATCCCAATATCATAATATATAAAACTTCAATAGTGTGTACTGATCATGCTGGCGCCTTCCCGCGATCCTCACTGGTACCTGAAACACATAACACAAAACACTGTAAGCATAAATGCTTAGTGAATTCCCTAAAATGCCACACACAACACATATTAGCCACTCGAGGCTATAACTCTGTTTGACCCTCTGGTCAATGTGTCTTAGTGGGACCCTCCAGTCTCATAACTCTGTGGGCCCTCTGGCCCTAACTCTGTGGACCTTCCGATCCTAACTCTGTAAACTCTGTAACATACATAGCATAAATCATATAGAAATCACATCATGCAAAAGCATACAAAATACTTTGTCACATAACTCTAATTACCACCCTAGGTAAAGTATAGTGAGAAGACTCACCTCGAGTAACTCGGTAAACCTCGAACTCTGAAATACTGCACTAGCCTTCACCTCCAGAGACAATATCTCAAGATGATTAGCTCCAATCCAAGCTCCCTTCACGTTCTAGATGGATCCTCTCTTCTTTCTCTAGCAAAAATCACCCCAAAATGAAGATTATAAGCCATTTCTTGCACTCAAGCCTTCCTCACTCTCTCTAGGGTTTCTCTGGAACAAGGTGGCCTCAAATGACGGCCATAAGGGCCTTTAAATAGGGCACAAGCCCCGAAAATTAGGGCTTCATTTAACAGCGCGGACTCGTCGAGTCCACGCATGGACTGGCCGAGTCCCTTCATTAAATCCAGGCTGGCAGAAGCGCGATTCCACTCGACGAGTCTGAGCGCCTACTCGCCGAGTCCCTTTCTAAAATTCAACAAAATACTTAAAATAAGATACCTGGGTATCCGGATGTTACAATTCTCCCCCATTAGAATCAGACTTCGCCCTTAAAAATCAAATAGGTTGTCTAAATGGAAATTGGGATGTCTTTTTAACCGACCCCATTTTTAGTGGGTTTTATTAAAAGACACACCACCCTATATACATCATACAACATTAGCCTTTCTTTATAGGTAATCATTATCATATAATTATTATTTTTACTAACTTTTATACTTTACTTAATTATAACCTAATCATTAAAACTTTAATGTTAATATTATAATTATCATTTTGACTAACTTTTAAATTTGTTTTTTATTAAGATAAAAAAACAACAAATATTGTTTTTATAATATAATAATATAAATAATATTATAAAAAAAATAAAATTTCATCAATTTTTTATCTTTGTTTTTAGTCGTAAACCCACAAGCTTAATATATACATTTTTCTATTTTCATAAACCTAATACCATTGATTGTAAAAAAAATATAATCATTCGAACAAATATCATATCCATTTTATTAACTGCATTTGTTGCATATAATGGTATAATAGTCAAAAGAAGAAAAGAAACCATTACGAGTGGTGTGTAAAAAATGAACACAAAAATAAATAAATAAAAAAACGAGATAAATAAAAAAGAAGTGTACGTTATTAACATAGTTAATATAGTTATATAATGGGAAAATGACAAAAATGCCCTACAAAGTTTCTAGGGTTGGTCGATTCAGTCCCTAAAGTTTTTATCGGGCTTTATGGGTCCCTAAACTAGGATACGACCTGCTCTTTTAGTCCCTGTCAACCTGTAATAGCCGGTTCAATGATCATTTAGACCAAAAAAACTTACATTGTGCCCCTATAAAACCAAAAAAATAAGTTCGGGGATCAAATGCAATCTCACCTTAATTACTTGCTTCGTATTCTTCTTTGATTTGCGAAATTCTCAAATTAGTTGCTTTGTCCTCGTCTGAAATATTCGAAAGTAATTTGCTGCACGGATCATTTTGTTGGTTATCCGTCTGGAACGCCATTGCTGAAAAGCTTTAAAGCAGATCAGATCTTGTTTCATTACTTAAGTTACGATCCTCCTCTCACTGGTTATCCTTTCCGAAAATTTCAACTTATTTGCTACGTATTAATTCTAAAGTTAGTATTAGTTTCATGTACTTTCGTTTGATGAATTTCTCGTTTTTTTTAACGAATTAGGAGATATATACATAAAACATCATTGTTTACTTTCATAATCAAAAGAAATAATTACATAGTTTTATTCGTTTGTTGTACTTTTCGTTAGATGATCTTTGCTTCTTTGTTATGGACTGTTTATCTTCGTACGCAATTAATTAATTAATTAATAATATGAATTGTATCATTTTTGCACATGCAAAAGTTGTAGGTTAAGATGGTTCAACCAACTAGATCCAAAGATCAACCGAACGCCGTTCACGGAGGAGGAAGAGGAACGACTTCTAGCTTATCATCGTGAATTTGGAAACGATGGGCTAACATCGCCAAGCTTTTCCCTGGTCAAGCTGATAACGCTGTGAAAAACCATTGGCATGTGATCATGGCTCGAAGGCTTAGAGAAAAGTCAACCAGGATGCATGGCTTTCTGAGAACCAATGATGTTGCTACTCCCCATCATCATGCATTTACGGAGAGATATCAATACACTTATTTCCCATATGAGCTTTCAAGAAATCTTGCATCACATCTACAACTCTCCATGAATCAGTTTCATCAATTCAAGAAAAATGAAGGTATACCAACTAACATAGAATTTGTATTGTCTGTTTTGACATGCTGGGATTAGATTAGGACGATGTCATTTGCATGTCTACAAGTTCCGTTCAATTCAGTCCAACAAACATATATCATCATCTTCCTAGTGCTAAGCAAACATACAAATTAAGTGCATTGGTATCAATTTGTTATTATTTTAGTTTTGATTATTTTTTATTATTAATTGATTATCGGGCTTTAGATAAACGAGATCAACGGGTGGAGTTTTACAAATTTCTCCTTGTAAATACGAACTCTAATGGGAGTGAAGTAATCGACCATGCAAAAAATCCCAATTTATGCGGAGGTGAGACTGCATTTGATCCTCGAACTTTTTTTTTTTGCTTTATATGGGCACAATGTAAGTTTTTTGGTCTAAATGGTCAGTGAACTGACTATTACAGGTTGACAGGGACAAAAAAAGCAGGTCGTATCCTAGTTTAGGGACCTATAAAGCCCGACAAAACTTCAAGAACTGAATCGACCAACTCTAGAAACTTTGTAGGGCATTTTTGTTATTTTCCCTTGTATAGTATAAAAGTTAGAGAGAGAATTATGTGTAAATGATGAAAAAAAAAAAAGGCAGATGCGTCAAGTGAAGAAAAAGAAAAAAACATGTGAACGTGAGCAACAAAAAAAAGAGACATGTCTTGAAAAAAAAATAAAAGAAAAAACTTAACTATAAAATGGAGTATATTTTTTGTCATTTGATTAAAAGTAGAAGGCAAACAGTGGTGAACAAACAAAAAAAAATCATAAAATGAAATTACAAAGGGTGCTACTAATAAGACACTCCTTAGACATCCTCTCATCATTTTTATAAAAAGTCAACCTATAATAAACTACTTGTAATCAGTTTTTTGGGAAAACAATGCAATTTCAACCAAATAAAATACTTCAAAATTAATTAGGGTTGTCTAAATGGTAAAAATGAGTGTCTTTTTAGCCAACCCAATTACAAAACCTATACACATGGACATTTATGAGAATTTGTGATAAAGTTTTATGTGCCAACCTCATTGTAAATAGTTAAAATTAGACAATTAGAGTCGGGTGTAAAAAAAAAATTATTCTTGGAGTAGAAACAAAAAGTAGAATATTTGATTTTTCATAAAATATTGGCATGTGTAATCTATTAATTTTCTCTCTTGATATCTTCTCTTGGTTTTAACACATGTCTTTATTTATGTGTTGTTTGTTTTTTGAAAAAACCTCTTCAAACCTCTTATTGTTGCGCGGCGCAGCACACACGCAAAACTTTTCGTCTCGCAGCTATTTGTTTTTCAGAAGTCTTCTGATTAAAAAACTTATGCGCGTGTTCTTCTTGGCGCAACACTTGTTTTGCCTCTTCCTACCTCTTCCAACCTCATCTTCTTCTTTTTTTTCTTGCTAAAATATTGATTATATATTGCTGGAATCTTATTTCACATTTTTTTTTCGTTTTTTTTTGTTTATTCTTGTTGATTTTTTTATATTGAATAATAATAATTTGTTGATGAAATATCATTATTTTATGTTAAAATATCTTAATTTTTTTTTGTTAAAATATCATTATTTTTTGCTGAAATATCATAAATTCTTGCCGAAATGTCATACATTATTAAATTTTCGATATTGAAAAACTATTTTTAGGATATAAAATCAGTTTATTTTAATTTTTAATATCTGCAGCAGCATGCAGATGTTAAAAAAAAAACAAACACGCTTCTTATTACAGTCTGCTGTTGTTTGGTCCACCTCTTCTACTGCAGAGGTGGTCCGCAGACTTTATGGACTTTTGCTTCAAAAAAACAAATAGCACATTAGTGAATAGGAAGACACATAAGAATAAAAGGTCATACTCAATAAATCAAGACATGTGTCAAAATCAAGAAAATATATTAAAATAAATAATTATTGGATTACATACGATTTTATATGAATATGAATATGGGTTAGAACAAAAAGTAAGAAGATAATTAATTTCTCTGATATATAATTTTCAATGAAGAGTTTTATGTATTTAAAATTTTAAATATATTTACAACCTTAAAATCGATTGACTAATTTTTATATGGGAAAATATCATATTAGCCCAACAAACTTGTCACGTTTGTTTTAAAATGTCACTCAATTGTTCTTTTTTTTTTTTTTGTATTTTAAGGGAACAAATTTGTTTTTCCACCTGTCACTAAGGTCACTTCACCTGCTATAACAAGTTTTAAGCCCTATTAACACTCTCACCAAACACCACCCATTAGCACCCTTATCATGGGGCTCGAGGTCAAGGGTGGTGGACTTCTCATGGTCAAAGTCCATGTAGACACCATCCCATAGCTACACGGACATAAACATTGACAACTGGATGACAACTAAGAGGGGTAACCGGCAAACCCCTTCGAATATGAAAGAAGGATCTTTTAAACTATTTAAAATGCACTTCATTCCCTTAAACTATAAAAAATAATTGATTGACTTTTTTTAAACAAACATGACAAGTTCGTTGGACTAACATAACATTTTTCCTTTTATTTTAGTTACAAATTTTAGTTTTGCTCAATTAAACGGTTATAAATAAATTATCTAAATCTACACATTTACTTATATATGAATATATGAGCAGAGATTTAGAGATTGTTTCGATCCATGTATGATATTAGAAAAAAAAAGGTTTAATTTATATAATATTATATATTTAATGAAATTAAAAAAAATGTAACTAAAAAAACACAGTCGAACTCTTTGATGAGTTTTTGAAAAAATAGGTGTGTTTGAAAAAAATATTTACTAAATATATGTATTTTCAAACATATTTACCAAAACAGAATAGTAGTTAGAATATTTACATAAACAATATTTTTTTTTACTTTGTTCAACAATTGTTTTACTTTTTACTGTTTTTTTATTATAACTTTTGACTTTTTTATAACTCTTTGTTATTAACTTATAGGGAAAATGACATAAATGCCCTATAAACTTTCTAGGGTTTGTCAATCTAGTCCTTAAACTATTTTTCTGGCTTTATGAGGGAACAGAATCGTTTTTGTCGGGTCGATTACATCCTTTTGGCCAAAGTGAAGGGGTCACTCGGTTATCCCTTTGCCACTGTTGACCAATTTCCTCCCATTGACTTTGAATTTTCCCAATTTGTTGACCAAACTTACCACATCATCAATTGTGCTCCAATTGAGCTTTTTAATTTGGAGAAAGTTTTCAGGGATATCACGCCTGCGTCAAGATAAACACCACCGTATTTGTAAAACAAATAAATTCGAAATAGATTCGAGATGTTTTGGCTTAATGAGACATCACCGGAATGAACATGACCTCAAATTACCTTTGAAAACCAAGATTCTGCCATGGTGGTCTTGAACAAGTAATCGAAATCAGGAGAAATTGTTGTTACTCGGAACCCTTTTTCAAAAAAGGGTTTGAGAATCTTGTTTCCTTTTATCGATTCCAATGTGTTTGATACAACCAGAAGACACTCATTTGGATGTATTTTGAATATCGATTCAATTGAGTGAAACGTCCTTTCAATAAACGCATTCAATCCTTGATAAGACCCAAAAACAGTTAACATATTCAACAGTTTCTTGTTTCTGGTTAATGACGAATCCTCATATTCAATCGTGAAACTGTGTGATTGATGCAGATGTGGCAAATGGGTGTTCGAAACTACATGTGGGTTTACATTTTTTTCTTTCCTGTTCGCCATTTTTTCTCGTCGTTGGTTGTTGTATTCAATGCTTGAAAAAAAAAGAACAGAGATGAAGTTTATTGGATCTTTGTTCTTTTTTTTTTCTTTCCTGTTCGTCACTTTAGTAGTTTCCTCTGAGTTCGCTTGTAATTTCAGATGGGGTATTGAAATTTCAAATGGCTTCTCTTCTTTTACTGCGTGTATTAATGGAATTTCTTGTTTTTGGTGTTGAGTTCCATTCAAGTTTTCTTCATGATGTGTGAAATTTCTAATTGAGATGAAGAGGAGAGGGCAGGTGAGCATGGTGGTGCGTCAATGGCGACGACGACAACATTTCTTAAACTCTGATTTTGTAATGAGAGAGAGAGAGACCAGAAAACACGAAGAAAAGAAGGGTGCAGAGTGGTTTATTGATGTTGCTAAGGATTCTCACAGAGGAAAAGGATAATGTGATCGATCGAGAGAGGAGCAGCGAACCTGTGTATTTGTGGAGAAGAGAAAAGAGGCAAATCTGTTGACTTTGGACTTTGAGAGAGAGAGAGACTCAAACCGGCTACAACAAGTAAAAAGGGTAAAAAGACAGGTTATCCACAAGTTCATTTCCTCATAAAGCCACAAAAAAAAGTTTAGAGGGCAAAAGGGTCAACCCTAAAAAGTTTGTAGGGCAGTTATGTCATTTTCCTTAACTTATAAAAAAAATTACAAACATATTATATCTCATTTCATCATCACAAGAAATTGATTGAATCTCAATAAATGTCCTAAATTGTTAATAAGATTCCTTTATAAACAATCATGTTAGACATGTCAAATTAAAACCAACATCAAACGAACAATATTTTTTTGGTATAAATCCAACAATGACTTCTTACAAAAACGGAAAGGAAAAAATAAACATTTCTATTGCTTGAACCGATTAGCATCATTCCTTTCCTCATTGTTCCTTTCATCTTCTAGCACAACAAGTTCATTTCTGCTACAAAAATTACAAACTAAGTTATCACATCCAAAATAAGTAGAAACTTGTAAATCATGTAAGCCACAAATGTTTATACCTAGACTCTATATTTGTGTCTCGAATTTGAT